TTGACACAGTGTCAGTGTAGAAACACCGTTGCTAATGTCAACTGTTACTGGCTTTCAGGACCCATTCCACAATGCCCACACTGACAATACAATTGATACAAACACTCCTAGCGAGGTCGCACACCGCCGACACAAGGAAAGGGTGTGCACACACAAGCGATTTAATTACTGTGATGGCTGTATGCTGATGTAAATTAGGTTTATATAATTTTGTAGTGTAGATATGGTCTAAACCTACAGGCTCCACATATATCACTTTCAGAGCCATTTTTGAATATTTCACAGTATAAATAGTAATATATATCAGATTTTATTAAAAACCTGGGAAAATCCACAGACAAATATTTAAACTAGAATTAAATTATATATATAATGATACAGCAATCTGGTACAGTAGTCTTAGGATATTAAAGCTAATATCAACAGAAACAACTACTGAAAATGAAGAAATACATAGTTCAACTTCTTATACCATCCATGTTAGGGTTCCCTCCCCACTCTGAACTTTGGGGTACAGATGTGGGGACCCGCATGAAAGACCCCCTATGCTTATTTCTACCAGCTTAGGTTAAAAACTTCCCCAAGGCACAAATCCTTTCCTTGTCCTTGGATGGTATTGCTGCCACCACCAAGTGATTTAGACAAAAATTCAGGAAAAGGGTCACTTGGAGTCCCTATTCCCCCAAAATATTTCCCCCAAACCTCTTCATCCCCTTTCCTGGGGAGGCTTGAGAATAATATACCAACCAATTGCCTTTAATATGAGTACAGACCAGACCCTTTATCTTTAAGACACTAAAATCAATCAGGTTCTTAAAAGAACTTTATTATAAAAACAAAAGTAAAAGAAGCACCTCTGCAAAATCAGGATGGAAATAACTTTACAGGGTAATAAAAAGATTTAAAACACAGAGGGCTCCCCTTTAGGCTCAGCTTTAAAGTTACAAAAAACAGGAATAAAACTCCCTCTTAGCATAGGGAAAATTCACAAGCTAAAACAAAAGATAATCTAATGCATTTTCTTGCCCTTACTTACAATTTTTGTAACCTTAGATAGATCATTTTAGGTATGTTTTTAGGAGATGTTTTTTCTGCCTGGTCTCTCTCTCTCAGAGAGGGAACTACAAAGAGAGCACAAACAAAACCTCGCCCCCCCAGATTTGGAAGTATCTTCTTTCCTTATTGGTCCTTTTGGTCAGGTGCCAACCAGGTTATTTGAGCTTCTTAACCCCTTACAGGTAAAGATTCAGTACAGCTGCTCAGGAGGGATTTTATGTTACCCTTAGCTGTATGTTTATGACAATCCATAACTCTGCATTATTTATTCACATTTTGTCTGATGCAGCTTTACTTGCAAGGAAAAGTTTGTGTAAAAAAGACAGAGAGTGCATGTTTTGTAAATCAGATTCCAATCCATGTGAAAAATGTGGATTGCTGATCTTTTTTAACTTGTGCTGTGGCTATAATCCACTGGATATACATGTCACTCTTCCTGTGCCATTTTCCTGCTTTTTGTTACCATATTTAGCATGGATGCTACCTGAAACCATAATAACATCTCAGAAGGCTTGCATACTTCTGCACAAAAAGAGAAGCAGGAAGGCAAGAATTACATCAGCGTGGCTAAACGGAAAGGCTCAAGAGATTATTCAAACCAAACTGAATTTGGAAAAGCTAACTCTAGTGAAGCAAATAAAAGGGAGCATAAACTATAGCAGGCAGTACATAAGAAGAAAATTAGAAGGGCTAATGGATTTCAAAGAACATGTAGCTAATGGTATACAAACAAACAAACAAACAAAAAAGTTCTTTAAGTGTCTCAAAAGCAGTAAGCCTGTGAAAGAATTGATGGGCCCTTAATGACCTAATTTTGGCACCTTCCACTGATTTAAACCAGTCATGAGTGCTGAGCACCTCTGCAAACTTAGGCCATGAAAATACACACAGAGCAGACTGGCCCTGGGTTTTTAAGCCCCCGGAGAGTTAAATGTGTGAACTTCAATTAAGGATGAAGAGCTGAATCAATACTGCTGAGTTTGAACCTGTTGCTGTGGGCATTCTAGATGTTTCAAACCTGATGCGCAGGCCAGTAAGCAATCCCATCTGGGTAAAATGGTATATATTAGCATTTGGAATTAAGCTGACAGAAGTTTTTTGTAATTTGTCTATTTCTTTTATACCAGAGGCATATTGTTAAACATTCCTCCCCCCCCATTAACTAATTTAACAGATAATGTTATCCTTTATGTGAGCACCATCTGTGTATTGTGTTCTGAATGTTCCTGGCTATGGAAGAGCAGAAATTATATGGAATTTCAACTTTGCTTTAATGTCATTATCTTGGGCAGAGTATGACAAACAATCACATTTATCGTCTGGAGCCCACCATCAGCCTATTAACCAGGAAGACATTTTTCACAGACTTAAAAAGAAACAAAGCAGATATTATCTCCCCACAAGCAATCCATTTCATGGGTGCTGAGCACTAGAAACATAAAAAGGGCTGAATGAGACAAGGTATTTCCACTTTATATCCAAATTAAGAGGGATTTTAGTCAACAAGGCCCATTTTAGGGGTTAATCCTGAAATCCTGAACTTGAATGCACGAAAGAGCTGTTGTAAAAAGCAGAAGAGAACTTGGTTTGAAGTAATTTTTCCATGCATACAAAAACAAATTTTGTTGGGCCATTTATTACTACCAAATAGGGGTACTGTTAATTTAAGTTTCAAGAGAACAGGTCAGTTATTCATTAAACTGGTAAGTAGGCCACTTGGCCTCGTTTCATCCTATGTGTTTTTCTGATAATCCAGGCGATGGGGAAGGATACAACAATTAATAGTTTTAGTATATAAAACAATATTCCTCCTATGGCTATCTAGCCCTAGACCTCAAGACAATCATGAAAAGAATTAAGGAGAGACAGAACCAACCCTAACTGATTGTAACAAACTATATATTCACTGCCCAAAACTCTGTTGATACAGTGTACAGGTTGAGTAACAGTGCCTGGTACCTTCCAGAATGTTAAATGCACCAATACTTAAAACCTCTGCAAAACAGGAAATAAAGCATTACAGTAAAACAAATTTAAACCTTTGAAAAATGCACCTCTCATCCCCACCTTAACTCTGCCCTCCTGGAGTTGGCTTTGGGCCTGGGGACTAAACCAAGCCTGACCCATGCCAAACAAAAATCTGCTATTTTCTGTGTTGTGTCCCACACAACGCTCATAAACCCCATACCCTCCCTCTGCTAGGTATAGCTGTATTGGA